AACTTTTTGATCAATAATTCGTAAATCAATTTCACTAAATTCAAAAAACCCATCGTCAATGTTATCAAATTGAGAAACTTTTGATGCTCCCGTGACATCAATCTCCTTGTTCGAATCAAAACATAATCCTAATATTCTTTTAAGAATTAATAATACTTTATTTAAGTCTATTAATTGGAAATCTCCGTCACCCTTTTTAATTGATATTGCACCAACCAATTGATTCATTAGTTGAGCAAAAATATTTTTAAAATCAATAATATTGACTGTCTTATAGTAGTCTTCAATAAACTCAGTTACTTTATTACTTTGTCTTGGTTTTAAATCTACTTTATAAAAATTACCAACAACAGTTTGCCCAAAGTTATTAACATATGACTCAACATAAGTAATATCAAATAAATTTTGTGTTGATTTACCAAGGTAGTCATTACCTGCAGGTACGGAATATGGTTGGTTAATATTTTGTATTCTATTATATAACTCCTTATTCATTGAGAATGGGAAACTATTATATACTGGGTTAGTTCTTTCGTATATAATTTTACCGACAGGACTTGTGGGATCTTCCTTTAAGGTGTCCATTAAATCTATTGATTTAACTTTAATATAAACCGATGAGTTTGATGCATATTCTTGGTCTTCTGAACATCCAATCGCCTTAACGGATAATTCATTTAAGATACCTTCTAATTTAGGTTGTATTTCTTTTATTGCGGTAACAAATATTTTTTTTAAATACTTAACAGTTTTAGTGTCACCACTTTTTTCACCACTATTTGACAATATTTTTGTTAAATCTAATAATTGGTCTAATTGATTTTTTTTATCTCTAATAGTGTTCTCAAATTTATCAACTTTCTTTTTTGCACTTGATAATTGTTCAGATACTTCTTTTTTATAAATTTCTAAAGATTCTCCTTTTTTCTTTTTTAAGTCCTGAATATCTTTATCTACCTGTTGATATTTTTGGGTTGCAGAAATCTTTTTTTGTACTGTTTTATAACCATCACTAATATCTAAAGCCATATTATTTTAATTTATAATTTTTATCGTCAGATATGTCTTTCTCAATTAAATTTTTGATTATATCGTCATCTAAATCAATATCAGATAAAGTAAAGTCGTCTTGTTTTTCTGTTGATTTTTGCCACATTTGAGACTGCAGTTTTGAAAGAGTTAACTTTTTCTCAACACAGTCATTTATAATTTTTTGTTGTTTTTCAATGACAGGACCAATAAGTTGCATATCTTCAGGTTCCTTCATCATTGTTAGCATCTTATTTTGGATTCTTATCGCGGTATTCCTTTGCTCAACAAGTTCGTTATATATCTCTTGCATTAGAGATAACATTGATTCTTTTGTTAAATTGATTTGTTTTTTTTGAGGTCTTGCCATAACAATAAATACTTAAATTTTTATTTTAACATTTCTTGAATTAATTGGAAATAGATTTTACGGTATCTTTTAATTGATGATCTAATTTCTTTAGTTGTCAAATTTGTCATTTCCCTCAATTCAAATAAGATGACATTTTTATTAAATTTATTGTTTGATGTGTCAAGAAATATGTCATTATAATTTTCAAACATATCGTATAACGCTTGTCCTAATTTTAATTCTTGTTCGGACATTTGTTTATCGGATAAAGTATCTAATAATTTATCTAAAAATTTTTTAATAATATCTTCAGTGGTTATACTATAATCATCAATATGATATATCATATCTGGACTATGTTGTAAATCAGATGAAATATCTTCGTAAGAAATTTTTCTATTCATTTCTTTTTGATCTTTCATGATTTGTCCCATCAAGTAATTTTTACATATGGTACCAAAATATGAATACGCCTTTTTTTCTTTTGATGGTTTAAATTTATCAATTTTAGTCATCAAAAATGAATGAGTATCTATATGGACTTCCTCAAAGTTCATATCTTTTCTGTACAATTTATATCTTCTAATAATTGAAGATATCATCTTGTCTAAAGGAAGTTTTAAAAACTCATTATATATTTTATTTTTTTCTTCGAAAGTGTCTGCGGTTAGATACATTCTAACCGCATTTTCCTCTCTTTCGTCAAAATAATTATTAAGTTTTGGTTTTCTACCTTTCTTTTTTACTTCATCTAATGTGTTTGAATTTTTTTCATTATCACTCATTAAACTTCTTGGGGTTCGTATTTTATTTCCCTCTGATTGATGTACATATACTCTTTCTTCGCGGAGTCAATCCAAAATCTAACCTCATCTTCGGTTAATCTATCATCACCGTTTTTATAGTTCCAAAAAATAGATCCTTCTCTTAAGTTTGTATGTTTATAACCAATTCTTGGAATTGACATAAATCTTACTGAGTTATGTGTCATTCTTAAAAGAAACTCATAACCAAAAGTTAATTTAAATGTTGTTTTTAACATTCCATAATTAACAAACGATTCTTTTTTAATTGCCAATCCTGATAATTGGAAGTTTTGATATGACAACAATGTTTCGTTAGTTAAAATACCCATCTCACTTGAGAAGTTTGCCGCAAATGTTGCCTCATTAGTAAACCCAACAAATACTCCTTTTTCATCAACATCAACCACGATAGGTAAAAATGCGTCAACATTAGGATAAATGTTTGCATACTCTTTAAAGTTTTTAACCCATATATTTGAGAATTCATCATCAAACTCAAATATTGTTACCCATTTAGATGTTGCCATTTTAACCCCATGATTAACCTGAGAACAAAAATTAGGTTCTTTAGTCCACTCCTCAAATTTAACATTTAAATCCCCAAAATCGTATGACTTCAAATGATCACTTAAAAATGTATCATTAGTGTGTACAATAACAATCTCATCAAATTGTTCTTTTTGTAATTTTAATGAAGTAATTGCCTTATCAAGGTACTCCTCAAAAAATCCTGTTTTACCTGTTCTAATCGGTAATATAACCGAAATTGTATTCTTTTCCATATTATTCAATTGTTTCAAATTTAGATAGTTGATCTTCAAACGATTCCAACCTTGTGTTTATCATATTTTCAAATAGATTGTTTACATCAGATTCAAATTTTGTTTTATCTGAAAATTCCGATATTGTTTTATCCATTTCATCAAAAATAATTGGATTAATATTATCCTCTAACCAATTTTGAATAAAGTCGGCAACAACATCAACAAACATATTTTGATTGTTAATCCAAATTCCATTATTTTCATTCATCCATTCTGGTTGAAGGTTAGGTACTAAACCGACTACAGGGATTCCCATTTTAAATGATTCAAGAGGGAAAGTTCCAAATCCACTTGTAGGATCAATCCATACTGAACAAAAACTTTCTTTCATAGCATTTGCAAATTCAATTTCTGACAATCCTCTCATATCTCTAAATGTAATCCATCTGTATTGAGGAAATTTAGCGTAGAATGCTTTAATCATATTTACAGTATCTCTTTGATCTCTTGAATGAACTGAAATAATTGTTTTTGGTGGAAATTTTTGTTTCTCAAATGATTCAGTAATAAATGGATTAATGACATCAATCGACACACCTCTCATCATTGATTCAATCATTTCTTTTTGTCTGTCTGAAGTTGTAATACATTTATAAAATCCTAATTTTGTCCATGTATCCCCTGGATTTAAAGTTTCAAAAACATGATCATATGCCTGACAAATAACCACTTTACCACAAGGTAAATTTGTAATTTGATCCATAACAAACCCGTATATTTCAGGTACAACAATAATATCTTCAGGAGATACCGCTAAATTAGTACCCTCAATTGCGTTATGAGGTAATTCCATATATTCCTCGCCTAACCAACTTGATACTCCGAAATATTCAGGTTTTTCATGTAAGATTATAGAATTGAATCCATTGTTTTTAAGAGCCATCGCCATTTGATAAATGTATCTAACTGACGCTCTAGCATTACCTTTTGTGTCTTGTACCAAAAAATAAATTCGGGACGACTTGTCCTTCATGTTTTGGATTGACTTTTCAAGTTTTGATATTTGTTCTTGGTTCATAATATTAAAATTTATTTATTATTTTTTTTGTTAATAGTGTATTAAATGCAAATCTAAAAGGGACTGATGTTTCATTTGAACTTAATGCGATTTTTTCATCAATTTCATCGTGTGGATCCATTAATATTTCCATCATATATTTAATCATTTCATATTTAACAATATGAATTTTTGTCTGACTGTCAACATTTTCATCTTCACCTTCATCAGATTTTTTTTCATCATCAATTCTAGTAAATTCATCAATTGCGTCTAAATCAATGTAATAGTGTTCTCCAAAAATCTTAAACATAATTTATAAAGTTTTAAATAATTCAGTAAATTCAGATAACGATTTTATCGTGTATTTTGAATTAATTTGTTTATTGTAGTCAGTTTCAAATTTAATAACAATTTTATTTGACGGATGATTTAATAATAAGTCAGGATTAGAAGTAAGTAAAATGTCTACACTATCCCAAACAGTATTTTTTGTTTGATTACTGTAAAAAAATACTTTCTCAATTAAACACCCAAATTTAGAAAGGAAAAATAATGAGGATGGTTTTGATTTACCTATTTCATCTGAAAAAATAATAATGTCATTATCTTCTCTTAAATCCAAATATAAATCGTTGAGGTAGTTAAATGACATGGTTTCCGTTGACGGAGCGTGTCCAAACAATTCCATAGTATAGTCTTCATACATAAACGAATATAATTCTTCTTTAGATTTAAATGAAAAGTGTTTATCTAATTCTAATGAATCAACATCACCTAAAATTTCGTATTTAAAATAATTAACATCAGTATTCTCATTCATCTCAACCAACTCATCAGTATCTCCCGAAAAAGTTAATTCATAAGTCTTATCTACGGACTCCATTTGAATATCGTTAGATTCGATTAAATGTTTTTCATACAGTTGTTTAAATTTTCCAATAGTATCCCTCAATACACCATTAATCTCAATCCCTATTTTCTTCATACTTATCCAAAATTTTACTAATTAATGGGTTTCTAACATTTTTAGCATTTCTAAAATCATAAACACCAATGTTATTAACATTTTTAAATCGTTGTAATGCGTCGTATAGTCCTGATTGTGTTTTATCTTTATATCTGTCTGTTTGTTCTAAATCTCCTGAAATGAAAAACTTACTATTAAAACCAATTCTTGTAAGTAATAGTTTCATTTGATTTGGTGTTGAGTTTTGTGATTCTTCAAATATCAAAATTGAATTGTCAATATTCATACCTCTCATATAAGCCAAGGCAAATACCTCAATAATGTCTGCTTTTTTTAACTCTTCTCTTGCCTCTTTACCGATGATTTTATTCAAAAGATAGTAAGAAGGGAATATATACGGATCCAATTTCTCCTCAAGATTTCCAGGTAAAGAACCTAACTTCTCTTCCGCTTCAACTGCAGGTCTAACAATAATTAATTTTTCATAACCATTGTTTGGATCCATTAATAAATCCACCGCCGCTTTCATTGAGATGTAACTTTTACCAACCCCTGCTGGACCTGAACAAATTGTAATTTCATTTTCTTTAAGAAGGTTATAATACTCTTCCTGATTTGGGGATAAGAATTTATTCTTTTGTTTTCTTTTGATTACGGAATTAATAAACTCTTTTTTTGAAAACGGTTTAGATTCTTGATCTTCGTTCTGTTGTACGGGTTTTTTTCTAGTCATTTGTATATGTTTATTATTTATTTAAGAGGTTTAACCAATATTCCACCATTTCATCCAACATGGTTTTAAATGTATATTTTGGTAACCAATTAGTTAATTCTCTTAATTTTTTTGAGTCTCCTTTAAGGTCGTTGAGCTCTTCAGGTCTATAAAATTTTTCATCCTGTTTAACATATTTTGTCCAATCTAATTCTAGTTTATTAAAAACATATTCAACTAAATCCTTAACTGAATGAGATATACCTGTAGAACAGACAAAGTCTCCTGGGGAGTCTTCCTGTAAAATTAACCACATTGCTTCAACATAGTCCTTAGCGTGTCCCCAATCTCTTGTAGCGTCTAAATTACCTAATTTAAGTTCATTACTTAAACCTAATTTAATTTTTACCGCTTCTTTACAAACTTTGTTAGTAACAAAATTTGTTCCTCTTCTTGGGGATTCATGGTTAAATAATATTCCATTAGAAACAAACATATTATATGAATTTCTATAATTACGAGATATGTTATAACTAAAAACTTTAGCACATCCGTATGGTGATACGGGGTTCATTGGTGTTGTTTCTCTTTGGTATCCATCTTCATCAATATTGTTACCAAACATTTCTGATGAAGATGCTTGGTAAATTTTAATCGATGGGTTAATTAATTTAACCGCCTCTAAAATATTTAATGTACCTAAACCAGTTACATTTGCGGTATATATCGGTTGATCAAAAGATATTCTAACATGAGATTGTGCCGCTAAATTATATATTTCATCAGGATTTATTTCACTAATTATTCGTATTAGTGATGAAAGATCAGTTAAGTCGGCATAATGAAATTTTATTTTATCAAACACATTATCTAATCTTGATGTTTGATTTTCGGATACTGAATTTCTTTTTAATGTTCCATGAACTTCATAACCTTTTTCTAAAAGAAATTCCGATAAATATGATCCATCTTGACCATTTATACCCGTAATTAATGCTTTTTTCATTTTATTTGTTAAGTAATTTATAGTTTAATTTAGAATTAGATAAAATACAAAAAGATGATATATTAGATTTTGTACATATAAAATTTTTTGTTTTTGATAAAGTAAAAACACCAAATAATAACTCATTGACATGGTTATGTATGTCTACAACTGAATTTTTAATTTTAAAAAAAGGTAAATTTATGTTGTTGGAAGTAAACTCATCATATGTTATTAGTTTGTTCCCATATCTTTTTTTAAATTTATTTGTGTCATATATGTTATCACACATTAAAAAAATATTACTGAATTCGTTAGATTCAATTTCATTAAAAATATCAATTATGTTTGTGACGATATGGTGGATACCAATATCTGTTGATCGTCTATGAACCCCAATTGTGGAATTAAAATTAATTTCACTATGTCTTTCATTGATTAACTTATTTAAATTTAGATTAGGTATAAAAAAATCGTTAATAACCTTTTCACTAATTAATCTAAAATCTTGATTATATTTTTCAATATCATAACAATCAATGTTTAAAATATTATTAAACGATTCTATATTAACATAAAGATGTTTATTTAATATAAAATCATTTTTATCTTGACTTAAAGAAATATCATATAAATTTTCACTACCATACCCTGGTATATTAATTAAATCATGATAATATTTTATATCAACATCCCCATTTAATTTAATGAAGTTTACCATATTTAAAACGGATTCTGTTAAATAAGAAAATAAACCTCGATGTAACTCTTTGGATCTGGCGGGTTTATATAATCTATGCGTTATTAATGACATTACAGATAGTATTTATCTCTTGATAAGTTAAATCTTGATGATTGGGTATGTAAAACCCATACTCATTAATTAATTGACAATTAGGTAACATTACCTCTCCGTAATTTTTAATCCACATAGGTTTTTTAGACATATCACCCGCAATTAAGGGTCTAACCTCAATATTATTATCAATTAATTTTTGTATGATAGTATCTCTATTTTTGTTTACAATTGGATATGCAAAATTTGAAATGAAATTATTCTCTTTATCGTCAATTCTTAATTGATTATCTCTAATTAATGATTTATATATTTGAAAATTTTTATTTCTTTTTTCGGTATAGTTATCTAATTTGTCAATTGATCTTAAACCAATAAATGCTTGTAAGTCCGTTGATCTTAGATTAAATCCTGGTAAATAAAATGTGTATAGTGAATCAAATTCATTTATTTTATTTTCGTTTCGTAATTTACTTTGTATTGTTTTTGGTAAATCTCTATCCCATCCATGACTTCTCATCATCAGTAATGAATGATAAAAATCAGTGTCATTTGTATTTATGAAACCGCCCTCAATTGTACTTAGATGATGTCCAAAATACATGGAAAAAAATGAAGCAAACCCAAAAGAACCTAAATAATCACTTTTATATTTTGATCCCATACTTTCACACACATCTTCTAATAAGATAACATCATATTTCTCACAAAGGTTTATTACTTTTTCCATATTGGGAACTAAACCTAATGGTGAAACCAAAATAAATGATGATGGAGAATGTTCAATAAATAATTTTTCTAAATGATTTAAGTCACAGGATAAATCCTCTAAATTACAATCACATAAAATTGGGTTCATTCCTAGTAATATTGGGGAACTTACATCGGTAGCCCAACTTAATCCAGGAACAATAATTTTATTATTTTTTAGACGATTGGTATGTTGCAATGCTGCTAATGCCAATAGAATTGCTGACGATCCTGAGTTAACATAAACAGAATATTTTGTTCCTATTTTTTTTGCCCATTTAGATTCTAATTCCCAAGTCAAATCACCCTTAGTTAATCTTGGTATTTCGGGCTGACTTAACCATTCAATCAAAGAATTAATATCATCTTTGTTTATGGTGTCACTTACTAATTTTATCATGATAACTATTATATACTAATTTTATTCCTTCAGATAATGATAAGGGATTAAAATTAGGTAGTAAAGATTTTAATTTTTCTACTGACACATCTTTTCTGTGTTGACCATTTGGTTTAGATAAGTCCCAATTAATCTTTAAAAATTCCGCATCACAAGATTTTAATGCAATATTTGCCATATCCTTAATTGTTAAATTTTCATTTCCTGCAACATTAAAACTATCGTAAATTTCATTAATAATGACATGATAAATAATTTTGGCAAAATCGTCAGCAAACATAAATTGTCTTAATGGAGAACCATCACCAAATAAGGTTATTGACTTTTTATTATTTTGTTTGGCATCAAATATTTTTTTAACCAATGCGGTTATAAAATGACTATTAGATTCATGATCTTTATCTCCCAACCCATACAAATTGCATGGTGTAAGGTATTGATACTTAGTATTGTATTGTTTATTGTATGAGTCTATCTGAACCGCCAAACTTCGTTTTGCATATCCATATGAAAAATTTGTTTTAGTTGGGGGTCCTAAATGTATGTCATCCTCTATCATGGGATATTTTTCCATAACATCGGGAAAAATACAAGTACTTAAAATACCTATAAATCTCTCAACATTTGTTTTATACGCATAATCTACTAATAATGTATTCATCATCACATTTTCAGTATAATATTCCGCAGGTTTATTAATATTATCTATAATACCACCAACTTTTGCCGCTAAATGAACGACAATATTTGGTTTATGTTTTAAGTACATATTTTTTACCCCAACTTCTGTTGTTAAATCAAAATCTTTTGACGATAAATAAATTGCGTTAGGTATATATTTTTTTAAACTTTTACCAACTAAACCGGATCCTCCTGTTACCAAAATAATTTTATCTTTCATTTAAAGAAAATTTATAATTTATTTTTATATTTTTAACCAACCATCACAATACAAATCATTTGTGTTTAAATTATTATAACTAATACCAAACCACTGTTTTGGGATAATAACTTTTTTATTTGTATTTTTATTTAACCAACCTCCCCACCAACTAAATGTTGAATTTGCAATAATATTATTCTTACACATAGACATTAAATATAAGTCTTGATAATCTAAATTGTTTGAAACAAAAATTTTATTATTAATAAATCCAAAATTTTCTTCACACCATTTAATGTCGTCTGAAAATATTAAAAAATATTTATCTTCACCAATGATTTTAATTGCTCTTTTATAATAGTCAATCGGTTGTGTTGGGTGATGATTTGGTAATGAAAGATAATCCCCCCTTCTAACATGAATGGAGCAAGTATCCCTATTTAAAATTTCGCCATATTTTTTTAACAAATATGTTTTTGTGTTTTCGTCAATTTCAAAAAGGTTTAATATCTCATTTTTATAATTTATAAAATATTTTTCACTTTGAAAGTACCCTTCTAATTTTATATTACCATTTATTTTTGGTATTTGAGAGTATTGAAATCCTTTTTCCCCAAAATTTTTATGAAAGTGTAAGTTATTTGAGAATTTTATTTTTCTAAAAATATTATCTTCATATGAAATATATGATTTGTGGGGAGTAATCATATCCCCAATATCACAAATCATTTCTTTATTATCTCTAAGTGATATCCCGTAGGTGGTTGCTATTTGGAATAACATATTACCTAATCCCCCCATTAACTTTGTAGATATTATTTCCATATATTTAATTTTCAGATATATATAAATTAACCACATCCTCAAGTCGTTTTCTATAATCATGATATTTCATAGAATTTTCATAATTAATTTTAACATACTCTAACATATTTTGATATGTTTCAGGTGTAATAGTGTTACAAATCTCTACCATTTCTTCTAATGATTTAACATGAAACATACCTCTTAAATCAAAATAATCACCAATATTATTACACCCAATATAAATTGGTACTGTGTTCGTTTGAAAACAATCAATAATTTTTTCGGTGAACCAATTGTCGGATGTAACATTTTCAATTACAATATGGAATTGGGAGTAAAATAATTCATTTTTCCATGAATTACTTACCATCTGCCTTAATCCCGATAACTCTTTAAAAGAGTTATTTATACTATTATATATGTGTACTGGAATTGATTTTATTGATTCACTTATCTTTGGTATTTGATTTCTTAAAAAATGACCTGACACCATTGTTTTACCACCAATTAAAGTTGTTATACAATATTCTTTTTGTTCAGGGAATTTAAAATCCTTAATCCAAGTTGTTCCGTAAGGAAACAGTTTAGCGTTTGGACAAGACAATAAAATGTCTTTATCCCAAGATAAAATTAAATCAAATTTATCGTGATTATTAATAACCGATTGTTTGAGTCCTGAAATTTCATTTGGTTCTAAAACCCATAAAACTCTTACTGAAGTTTTTGGTGTATTGGGAATTCTATCTACATATAATTCACAAGGTTTAGTTGTTTGAAAATTAAGATCCAACCCAAATCCGGCAATGATTGATATATTGTGCATATTATATTCAAGATATTTTTTTAAGAAATCCGTTTGGGTTAAAAGTTGCATTTTTACCAAAAAAGTCACACCATTTTCTATCGATTTGAAAATTAGTATTATTAGGTAAAAATTCACTAATTGCTTTCAGAGGACCTCCACCATACTGTTCCTCAAGTCCAATATGAATTAACATTCCATCTTCAATAATCAAATAAGAATTAACAGAAACTATGTCTTTAAATTTATCCATAACCGATTTAACATGACTATATAAATGAGATCCATCATCAATAACTAATATGTTATTAAATTTTTTAGCATTGTTTAAATCATAGTTTTCAAAACCACCTAAAAATCTAACAATTCTTGGGTGGTTTAAAATTAAATCATCCATAGGATACTCCATAATATCTATAGTATGAACCACACCACCATTACCAATTAAATCTAACATATCTACCATGTATAGTGCTGATGCACCATGATTGGTACCAATTTCAATAATTAAATCCGGCTTAACCTCATTTATTATCATTTGATATAATAAATAATCAAAAGGATTTTTAATTAGTTTAATACC